TTATCATAAAAGCATTTTTTTTTGCGCTAAACATGCGAAGGGTATGCCGAGATTGAACATTTTTATTGCAAAAATAGATTTATCCTTTTTAAAAACATTTTATTCTCTGTGCGAGCAAGAAATGTAATTTCTTGCACTACTTTTTCGTTTTTCGATGGTCCCATCCATATTTTGCTCCCGGAAACTACTCGCTTTGTATGAAACGAGGAATAGTAGTTTGTCGTTTTGGCTATTCAATAATCACAGACAAAAAATTAGTTCGTAATAAAATGTTTCTTAATGAACTTTCCTCTATAAAAGCTATTTTTAATCTGAACAGACATCGTCTTGCATGAATGATCCGCCTTTTGAGCTAAATATTTTGTTGTTATTGAAAGCAGAGCAATTATTTATGTTTGTGACTTTCAAATTCGCCCCAACAATTATGTCTTTGGCACACTGTTGAAAATTTCCGTTTAAATTTTCCGTGTCAAATTCCGGCAATTTTTATCGTGTTCAAGTTACCACTGAAATTTCAGGAAATCTTGGCATTGAAAAATCAAGTATTCCATTGATTTTCTGTGTAAATAATCTGGAAATCACTAAACTACTTGATTTTTCAGTTCAATTCTTCTATGAATATTCAGAAAAATCAGAAAAATTTAGGAAAAAATTAAAAATTCATGTCATTTTGTTTCGGAATTTTCATGTTCCATTGAGAACTCAATCAAGTTGTGAAATTTCCATCTCACTCCCGATGAAAACTCATGAATTTCCGTGAATTCTACTTAAAACTTGAAATTTCATAACCGTTTTTTCCCTCAATCCGATTCAATGTCACTCTCAGAGATTTATTATAATATCTTCCATGAAAGTTAAATAAATTTCTAACAGTATAATTTTCAACTAACGATTTTATTGGCCCCAACGAAACTTGTTTAAGAACTTGTTCTTTTTTCTCTCAGTGTGGGGGGTTCAGAAATTAAGAGGATTCAAAAATTTGTGGGAAAGGACACAAGACATCCATTGCAACTAATAAAAATCATTAACAAAATGATTCAACAAGTGATGAAAATTCAATCTCCATCACTTCATTGCTGCATCATTTGCAGGAGAAGTTGAGTAATCAAATTGCTATACAGTCGGTAAAGTTAAGATGAAAGCTCAATTCCTCCAGCATTTCCCATTCCATGGCGTATTGAAGGCGTATTATATATGAAAATATACAAATATATTTTTTATGACTTGAAGTGAGATCTGATCCCAGCCACTCGTAGTATTAAGACAATGTAATTGTAACTGCAGTTAGTGCACCGCTGAGCAAAGCTTGAAAACCTTCCTCATGTAGAAAAAAAGCTGGGAGGGAGAATTCAGATGTTGGAACGAATTGTCTAGACTCATATTCTCGATTATCTCGGGCGAAAAAATTGACTTGCTGCAATTTGATTTTTCGATGATGAGATAGTCAAGAGGATAATAACTACTTGCCAGGTCTCTCCGGATATTGTACCACGGTAACTCCATTCGTACAATTTCCAGATAGTCTGATAGCAAATTAATGAGCTCAGGGTGTCCCTGCGAGTGAGGATTCGTTATTCTCTCGATATTCGATTTCGGATATGGCTGAGTGGTGAAAGTAGATAACTCCAGAATTGATTTTGGCATTCTTTTAGAAATGTATTGAAAATTACGAGTCTTTGAGAACAAGATTTTTAAAACCTTTGAGAGAGAGTTTTTGTGAATCTTTCCGATTTCATTCCTTCAAAGATATTTGCAAAAGAACTTGCAAATTACTCTGAAATTCTGATTGTCTTTATTGTATCGCAAATATCTCCGGAGTCATTTATAGCTTGCTCCAGGATGAAAGCATTTGAGAATTTTAAGATTTTCATCAAATATTCATGTAGAAATCTCACAATTTGCTGATGTTCCAGTGAAATTCCATTAATTTAACTAGAGAATACGAATCGACTTGGAATATTTTAGAATGGATCTAGAGTTTTCTGAAAAAATGAGGGTTTTTGCCAGATTGTCGAATTCTGTCACGGAATTGCAGAAAAATGTAATATTTCCGGAACATTTTGTCAAAAATATTCAATGGTCTGTGCGAAATTTTTTGGAAATTCAAGGACTTTACTGTAATTTTGGTTTTTATTGAAAAATTGATACAGAAAAGAAAATTTCTCTAATTTTAAGAATGAATTTTCTAATTTTGAGAAACTCATGCTTACAATGCACATTGTCATTACAATAACAAACTTTATACTTGATTGCGAAGTTCAAATTTCTTGAAATTGAGTTTCAAAAACCTTTCTATTTCAAGGGAAAAATATTCTTACAATTATAAATATCAAGTTTTCGTGTTGAGAAAAATGAAGTTCCTACAATAGGAGACAATGTTCAGGATTAATAGAATTTTAATTCACCATTAATTGGAGTTACATTGAAATACAATCATAAATTTCAGAGATATTTAAAAATATAGTATACTGGAAAATCATTAGTTCCAAAAAGGAGAATGGTCTTAAATTTGTGAACGCAAACGTTCTTCATTGCAAAACGAAGATTTCCTCAAAACAACCAAAAATATGTGTTAATTTGCATATAATTATGCTAAGTTACATTTTCGACTGCTTTTTAAAAGAAAATCTGCTAAGAATAAATGAACATTTCACATATTTTGAAGATAATCTTTAGCTTTTATCTCTACCGAGTTTCGGAATGCGGAGATTCTTACTGAAAAGTAAAAACTTTTCTCCTATGTGCAGACAGAAATTTTTAACATAACATTTTTCCCAATAATTTTCCTTCCTTTCGTTCTGGACTAGCCTTCTTTCACCAAAATGGCCATTATAATAATTGAAGCATGGAAACGATCGCTGAAAAATCGAGAAGCCGAATCGACACTCGAATACACTTCATTAACCAACATTCCCTCGTTCATTACCCCAAGGCACTAATTGAAAATGAACCCAACAAGTCCTCTAGCGCAAATCAATGAATAACTAAGGTACGTGTATATGTACATAAAATACTCAATTAACGATTACCAAATAAGTAGAAGTTCATCAGTTGGGTCAATGATGATAACCAACGCATGAATTAAATTCATGTGTCAGTGGAGATGCACAAAAAATGTCTGAGTCTGGAAATTGCAATGACGGGACAGATTAATGATCAATAATCAAGTCACGGAGTCGCTGGGACTCGTGATGTAATCAACCACAGGGAGAATTGTGGATGTATAATACACATATACATAAGAGATGCAACTGTGAAGAGAGATTAATAATTAATAAATTGTTATAAGTTATTATGAAGACAATTAAATTGCCGAAAAAAAAAGAAATGTTGGTAAATAAAATGAGTGGGTCTTCATGAGACTCGAAAATAAATGTGTTTTGATTTATTGATACTCCCATAGCTTGAAGTAATGATCCCATTCATTTTGATGAATAGTCATTGTTGTGTGCCGACACGATGATAGTCCTCAGCTAACAATTCAGCTTACTCAGGTTACTTACGACTTTTATTGTATTGTATTTTATTTATTAAATTGAATGATGCGCGATTCGTTTCAATTTTTAATGGTTCAATAGAGATATGTGATATTTACAATTGATGCTCCCGTATCTTAAAATATTGATCCTATTCATTTTGACGAATAGTTATTGTTGTGTACTAATATTTAATCGAAAGGATTCAATAGGAAAAATCAATAGAATTCGATTTTTCTATGTAACTTATTCTCTTTAGATATTTTCTATGGAATTTTCTCGGCTCAAATTTTCTACGTTTTTTTCATTGTATTTTTCTTTTCTTCTCATCAAGAAAATCAAACAGAAAATTTGAGTGGAGGAAATTCTATAGAAAATGTCTTAATGGAAGAAGTTATATAGAAAACTCGAATTCCTTCAACTCTTTCTATACAATATTTTCTACTGAATATTTCAATCAAAAAACTAATAGAAACTCTACTCTCTTGTTTCTCCCTCTTTTCCTTTTCCTGTTTAGTTTTCAATTTTTATTTTCCGCTTTTCAGATCAATAAATTTCCAACTTTTTCATCGAGGGGTTATTCATTTTGAATTTTTCAATTGTTTACTTCCATTTTTCAACAATTTATAATAGATACTGTAACAAACGGTCCTCCAGTCTTTTTTTCATGAAATATATGCACAAAATAAATGAAATATCCTACCCGGACTCCCCTCCCCCCGCCGACACTCATTAATGCTGTGAAAAATGCTCCAATAATTACACGAGTCTCTCTATCACCGAAGAAAATCAATGCCCATCCCCGTGACCCAGTGAGACCCATTCTTTGCACCGTTGGCCAGTCAACCGAAAGGAAGTAGAAAGAGAAGAAGACAACCGCAAAGTATTGGATTATCCAACCGAGGATATTATCTCTTTAAAAATAGTCCGGAGGTCTATTACTCACAAAACAATTTTTTCCACCTCTCCCCTGTCCTCATTGAAAAAAAAAATGATGGAAAATAATGGTGCTCCCTTTGTCCTCAGAATGGTAATTTTTTCCTCTCTCTCGTGAATATTAAATCAATTTCTCTCTCTTGGAAAATGAGAGAGCCCAGCTGGGCTTTCTCTATCCCTTGGTTGTGTGACGAAATCTCATTAAAGAGGACTAACAAGAGGTGTTAGACAAACACAACTACTAGCCTACATTTATAAAACTCCGATGCGATTTTGTACCAACGTGGCTTGACACGCGAAACCCATCGTCTCCTCTCATTCTAGGGTTTTTTTCCCTACGTTATTTTTTATTTTTTATTTTTATTTCACTCTCTTGTCTAAACACCACGACGTAACACTCTGGTGGAGGAATGAGGGAGTGGGATTGAGCGGGAGGAGGAGGAATGAGGGACTGAACGAGAACAGTGAGTGAGTGAAATAGAAGACGAGGCTTTAATCAGTTAGTCGATAGACAAATTGGGTTAGTGTAGTCGACCATGGGCACTGATAGGTGGGCTGTTGAGGAGACAGAGTCAAGTCGATGTTGAGTTATGGCTGGTGGATGAGAGGTGGTAGAAATAACAAATTTCAAGTCTTAATTTGAGAGGGAAAAGACTTTTCTTATCTTATAGTTGTCTAAGGTTCTTCTATGGATTAATCAATTGATCAATGATGTTGACACATGTTTGGATTATTTTGTGAAGTAAAATTTTAGGAGTAAATTCTGTAGTGCAGTGGTGAAGAATTTGAAATCAGTTTGGGAAATATGGACGGATTATTTCGCAGATATCGACCAAAGCAGTGGATGAGTCGAAAAACATGAAGGACCTTCTTTGTAGATCATGAAATTTTTTGCAAGAACAGTCTTCTCATGAAGTTTTTAACATCATTTTTTTTTCTATTAAATTTGCGAATTGCACTGTTAGAAATTTTTGACATTTCATGGAAGATATTATAGTAGATCTCATGAGAGTGACATTGAATTGAATTTAGGGAAAAAATCGTTATGAATTTTCAAGTTTTAAATTGAATTCACGGAAATTCATGAGTTCTCAGTGGGAGTGAGATGGCAATTTTACAACTTGATTGAATTTTCAGTGGAACGTGAATATTCAGAAACAAAATGACGTGAATTTTCAATTTTTCCTTGAATTTTTTGAATTTTGACAGAATAATTGAACAGAAAAATCAAATATTTCATTGATTTCCGATCATTTGAACAGAAAATCAATGGAATATTTGATTTTTCAATGACAAGATTTCCTGAAATTTCAGTGGAACATGATCACGATAAAAATTTGCGGAATTTGGCACGGAAAATTCTGACAAAAATTTTTAACAGTGTGGTTCGGGTATTGTTGGAGCCTCTTCACAGATTATTTTCAAAATATTTTGGTAGGTCAATTGAAAAACATCAGAGGACTTCTTTTGTGAATCATTAAATTTTCTGTTAGAACGGTTCTTTAAAAAATTACTCTAGACTTCCCCTCGGCGATAGTTGCAAATAATTTCATGAATTCGTTCTGGAGTGATTGGCCATTATTTTCAAATTGTTTTCAACTTATCCCGGAAACTAGTAGGTTAATTGAAAATCATCAAAGAACTTTTTCATTGATCATAAAATTTTCTATAAACGAGGTCCAATTTTTTAATGAATTTCTTTAAACCTCTTTCTTTTGCAAATAATTCCAAATAAATTTGTAAATCCATTTCACGATTGTTGGAGATTTAACTCCTACTATTTCGTCAACATCTTCGCAATTTTTTTTCCTTAATAAAAAGCTCGTGATGACTCTTTAAACCATTCTTTATTGGAGACAATCAATTCGCGAATTATGCAAATATCTTAAAAACTATTGAGTGCATCAAAAGATGTCATAATAATGTTTTTGTAGACAACAAAATTTCCCATCAAAACAGTCTTCTGATGTTTTTCACTAAATCAGCTAGATCCCGAGATAATCGCCAAATATTCCGAAATGTTTGGAATCATCTTGACAAATTCACCACTTTGCTCTAGAATTAAATGAATTGTTTAACATTGAAAAGTAATCAAGTGATAGCGTCAAGGACGTTGGCACAATTGCCGTCTCGAAGTCAATTAGAATCGTCCGGTATTGAAAAGTGAAGAACGATCACTCGGTGGAAAAGGTTTTTTCGGTGAATTGGAGCAAGGGATAAAGTGAAGTTGTGGGTCAGGAGGAAATTGAGCCCAGATGAACGGGACGTGGATGGCCCGTCGTTATCATCATCCATTCTGCCGTGATGGGGATCACCCAGTGAGGACCAAGATCACTTCAATTTATCGATCACGGAAGCCTCAGATCCAGGCCCTTGGAAACACCCTCCACTGAATGTATTACCTCCTTGACGTATTTACATGGATTAAGTTGCCTAGACATATGGTGAAATTCTCGTGATAGAAACTCCACTCTGTTGCATCGACTAACCCCGAAGTCGACGACTGGAAAAGCCAATTGGGGTGAGTAATTTTCCCTGCATTTTTGTGTCATCGGAGGTTCGAGTTAAAACCTCTTTTTTATCGTTTACATTTTTTTCTCTCTCTCCCTTTCTTTTTTTTGTTTTCGGTTTATTCATTAGGTATGACGAAATATTCGTTGATGGTAGTCTACTGTCTATGTGCCCTCATCGATATGGCGTCCCTTCACTTTTCGTGAGTATATTAGAAAAAATAAATTTCATGAAATTTTAGCAATGATCGATTATCGATTATTCAGGAGTCGAGATTTTCCACGTGATTTTAACCGTATAATCATTATTTTTTAGAGAAAATGATAAGAGATTTTTCATGAGGAATTTTCTCATTTACAAAACATTATTTGACATTCTTTGCTGAATAATTGGTACAAGAAAGTAGAAAAAAAATTGCAAATTATTCATACTTTTCTTCAGTCCGTGTTAAGGTGTTTCGTGCGAAAAAGGTAAATAATGACATTCATCTGGAATTCATAGAGAATGTTTATAGTCAGAATTGAATTATCTATGAATTTTTCTAGAATTTTTTTAGATTTCCTTTTCAAGTTATTAACGATTGAAGTCGCTTCTGATACATAAGCTCTTATGGGGATTTTTCTGTTTAGCACGAAACTGCGTTACCATCTGAGCTGATAATACAGTTTCATGGTCAACAGAAAAATCTCCATAAGAGGCCATGTATAAGTAGCGACTTTAATCGTTAATAACATGAAAGAGAAATCGGAAAAAGTTCTAGGAAAATTCATGAATAAATAAATTGAGACTATAAACGAATGGATTCGGGTTCTTAATGTTTATTCATATTGAGAATAATCCCAGTTCCCCTCCTACCTCATCCAAATTCTATCTAATTATTCCCTATGACGTTACAAAGATGTGGAACGCTATATAAATTCCTTTCTTTAATATTCATTTCAAATTCGATGTGAATTCCAGATGAATCTCATTACTTACCTTTTCCACACGAAACACCTTAATACCCCTCAAAAATTATCTTTCGACATTTTCTCAAAGAAGAACTCATCAATCAAAGTGAATGCACTCGAAGTAACAATCATGCAAAGGAGAACTGTAGAATTTACTTCAATCATTAGTGTAGATTATTGCAACATTGACAAATGACAGAATTTTAACAATAACTGATAATCGATCAATTAAATTTAAAAAGATGCCCCCTTGTCCCCGTTCAGTACTCCCTGTTTACTGTTCGAGTTTTCAGCGAGAAAATATGCGAACCGGTACTTTCAACAGAGGTCGAAGGGTGGCATATTAAAGTCGATAGCCTATCGTCTCGCACGATTCGACTATCCGCAAGAAAACGCGGATACCGATTTTTTCCCAAGATTGAAAGGTAATTTGGAGTTTCAAGAAAGAAAGAAACTTCCCACTACATAAATCCTCAAACAAACACGCAAAAGAAATCAATTTTGAAACTCAAAAATTTATTTTTCCATCTTTCAACTGATTTAGCTAAATTAAATTATTCATAAAAAAAAAATATTTGCATCAATGCATTTCGTTATTACCCAACTGCATTACGGTAAAACCAGTATCATAGACTCAAGGGTATTTCCAAGCGAGACTTTCTAAGGCTTCGATGATATCCCACTATGATTTGATTCAAATATGACAGATTTATTTATTCAGTTTGTGCGATATGTCATTTTGTAAAATTATACGTTTTCATTTAACCCAAGAAGACATCAATTTTATCATTATCATAATGGACATCGACAGCTGGGAAACACTAGATGCTGTCAATCAGCTGATGAGAAACATCTGCCGTGGGTCGATAAAATGAATAATGACAAAAGCTCATGACCGGCAGTCGGTACAAAATCCTCGGTACCAAGATTTACCAGGATATTTTTGAAAAAAATTTCTCTCCTTCTTTTTCTCTTCTGTTTTTGTGCTTGACCACAATCCCAGGGGATTGGAGGTTGAGGAGTACGGCAGGAAAGAATCATCGTTATCGTTAAGGGACATTTTACCATTCAATCCAAAGGCCTATGATAAACACAGGCCCCCGAAATTCGCTGGACAACCGACTGTTGTTTACTTCCATGTCACTGTGCTCAGTATCGACTCCATAAACGAGGAATCAATGGTGAGGGATTGTTTATTGTTGTTTAGAGATAATGAGGATCGAATGAATTTGGAGACGATTTTGCAGATATCAAAATCATGATGTTGGAAAAAATCATGAAGACCTTTTTTGTAGAGAATTTTGTGGACAAGGTTCTTCGATGTTTGTGCGCGAATCTCCAATTTTTTTTAGAGTTATTGACACTAGTCTCTCTTCATTCATATTGTTGCTGGAATAAATATGACATTATCTAGATAATGAGCAATGCTATGACGAATAATCAAAAAACCTTTTTCGTAGGAAATTCGTTTGTCTGCGTAAAAGCTTTTTACACAGACAAACGAATACTTAAAATGGCTTATTTTAAACGGATTTTAAAATAAGCCAGCTTAATGATTATATTTCTGAGGATATTTTTGAAACGAAGAGATTTACAGAAAAACATTGAAGAAGTCTTCTTTTTTTTCACGGCCTAGGAGTTCCTTTTGGGATCCCATTCGGCACCCTATTGAACCCTATGCATGCGCCTGTAGATTCGACATAGTACCGCATTCGCATTTCTATAGAGCACAGGAGTAACGTAGGAATTCAGGTCCACTTGGGATCGAACTCGCAACCTTTCGCACACGAGAGTTGTGTCTAGCCCACTCGGTCACCGACGTCGGTGAAGAACTCTTCTTATAAAAAATTTTCTTAAGTACAAAGAAGATCTAGTGACCTTTTTTGTCAGATCTGGTACTACCCGAGATACTGACAAAAGAAATCTTTCAATCCCATAACAAATAGATTTTTCGATGCTTTTACGAATATCTTTGAAATGAAGATTAGGTACCGAATAACATGGCAATAATTTTTTTGACTCCAAAAAAAGTAATTGATTAAAACTGAAAACAAGACAACCGATCAAGACCGAAACAAAATTCCGATTATTTTTAAGGTCTCGGGGTATTATAACTGATAATTTTTTTAATTCTAATGTCGGCTGACCAGAGTACGGTGTTCGGGATTAAATAAACGTTTTACTAAAATGTGGAGAATATCTGCAAAATTTGTTGGAAACAATTAACAGGGTACAGGGAAATTACCAATGCGGAACGTGTCACGTGACCCCGAACATCTACTGCCCTTTGATTGGCCGAAATCAGAATTGAGGAAATAGAATAATCATTCAACTTCTAAACAGCTCGAAATTTCGATGTTTTTCTAAATATCATTGAAATGGAGATACTTGAAGAAAAACATGAAAAGCCATTTTTTATGAAAAACTTTATGAACGTCTTCATTTGCACCCATTAGTTTCCTAGATTTTGACAAAATATGTATGCGTTTCCCGACTACTTACAGAACAGTTCCATCCTTTCCTGTAAGATGACGCCACCAACAGTCTGGCGACACCCTGATTCCTCTCCTTAATTTTTTCCCCGCAATTTTTTACATAAAAAATTTTTATGGGTTTTATTTACCTCACAGACTTACGTAGCCGACATATTCCTGGCTCAAAGCTGGCGTGACTCAAGGCTAAGACTGCCGGAGAATATGTCCGAGGAGTACAGGATACTCGACGTCGATTGGCTGCACAACATATGGAGGCCAGACTGCTTCTTCAAGAACGCCAAGAAGGTCACCTTCCACGAGATGTCGATACCAAATCACTATCTCTGGCTCTATCACGATAAGACTTTACTCTACATGTCCAAGTGAGAATAATTGCCCTCCATTGACCCCCATAAAACCCAAAAATACGTAAAGTGCGAGAACCTCGTGCACTCATTCTACTTGAGTGGAAATGTTCGGTTGTAGTCAGACGAGGATGGAACAAACCTTTGTTTAATGGCCGGTAGTTCACTCCAGTGAAGTTTTTCCTCCCACTAGTACCTCATTTTCTCCCTGTTCTCCAACACAAGGGATATGGAGAGTAATCGAGTGGAGTAGAAAAAAATGTTCTGGAAAACTTAAGTGGGAGACTCAAGATTTTTTTTTTCATGATGTTTGTTTTCAGACTCACCCTCGTTCTATCCTGCGCCATGAAGTTCGAGTCTTACCCACACGATACGCAGAACTGCTCCATGATGATCGAGAGCCGTGAGTTCATGCTATAGTTCAACTTTATAATGAATGCGTGGGATAGTATTGGGAAGAATGAGAAGTTGTGAGGGACAATATGTTCTCTCGTTAATCATGAAATTCATCTCGATAATTATCGATGTTGAGGAAATATGCCAAAAGAACTTTTTGTTGCGAATTCCTCAGATGAAATTATCACATCAAATTGAGATTTTTCTGCATTCGAATTTGAATTCGAATTTGAGGGGGGATTTTGCAAAGAGGGGGAGGAACAGCGAATTCGAGTTGACGGCTGCCCGCCGGCCGATGACGACACACCGCGCGATATCGACGTCGTATTTGAGGGGTTAAAAAGAGAAAATGGTGTGACATCACAACCTCAGCAACTCCCTCTCCATTTCCTCCCAAAGCGTCACAAACTACAGAGCCCCTCCCCCTCACTGTACGTATGACGTAATATTTGAATGGCCCCCTAAATGTCTTGGGGATAATGGTGTTATGAACAATCGGTACTTTTGATTCGCCTTTCTTTTCTTACCACTTTACTACACCATTCCATTCGTCAAGGGAAGGGATTAAGACTTTTTTGGGGATGAGTCTTGGAGGACATTGGGGGTCATCAATAAACCTCTGGTCCCATGAATATCGCCTCTAGTGGACCACACTTAACAATGGCATTTCCTCATTTTTTGCTGTCATTAATATTCTCTAGTTGTAGCATTGTGCCCTCCTTCCTGAGTTAAGATTTATCATTCCTTCACTACATCTCTTTTGTGGTTTTGAAGAGCGAAGAAGGTGATCAAATAGGAAGCACTACAATGAGTCTTGTCATTAGTAAAGATCAATCTAATTTTATCTCGAAAGATTGGCTTTCCTAAGCCTAGTAATTTGTTAGATACTGAGAAGTAATCCTTCAGCTTCAAAACTAAAAGATTTGGAAAATATCTCTGAGGCAAAGAGTCATATAAAAAAATATTATAAAACAGTTTTTGTTGGAAATGTTCTCAGTTTTTAAAATATTTTTCTCGTAAGGCCTTTATTTCGAAGATATTGATGAAATAATCATTCAACTTAAGAATAAAACATAATTGCAATTATGTTAAAAATGAAGGAGTTGAGCAGAAAATGTCACACACCTTTTTTAAATTAAGTAATTCTCGCCTTTATACTGCTTAAAATTCTGCAATTTTACTGAATTTTCAGTGAAATGTGAAATTTCATAATTTCTTTTCTCCTGAACTGCATTCAGTATCACTGTCCTGAAAATTAGTAGTCAACTGTCCATAAATTTTGTTTTTCTAACAGTGTACTTCAATATTGAATTAATGCTCAAACTCCTCTTAAAGTTTCTCACACGACTCAGGACCTCGTCTTCATCTGGAACATGACAGACCCCCTCGTGGTGAATCCCGAGATCGAGTTACCCCAGCTCGACATATCCAATAACTACACGACAGACTGCACAATCGAGTACTCAACTGGCAATTTTACGTGCATACAAATTGTCTTCAATCTCAGACGTAGACTCGGCTATCATCTCTTCCACACGTACATACCATCAGCCCTAATCGTCGTCATGTCGTGGATTGCATTTTGGATAAAACCAGAGGCTATTCCTGCACGTGTCACACTCGGTGTTACATCATTATTGACACTTGGTAAAGTATCGTTTTTTTTTACTTTTAATATAATGGGATGAGGGAGCTTATAGTTATTTCAATTGTGGAGAGCCTCTTAGTTTCGACGATTGTCATTGATCTCCAGCCTATTATTATTTTTAAGCTTCTTTACGTTATTGGCAATCATAAGTTTATTTCACATGCACATAGTTTGAAATCAAATTCATTCGTAGGCTCAAGAGAATTTGTGAGTTGAGATTTTTCTACGTGAATATGAAGCGAAATTGTTACGACTTAATTAATCCAATAGATTGCATTCTTGTCTTTTCATCTAGAATTTTCTTTTCGAATTGATAATTATTTTCGGATTATTAAACAAATCAGGTATTAAATAGAGTTATATGGGATAAGTTCTATAAACTCCTTGCATTTCTTCGAATTTTCTAGAAACTCGATGAATTTCCTCGGAATTTCTAGAAAATCCTTGAATTTTTTCGAAATTTCAAGAAACTCCCTGAGCTCCCTCGAAATGTCTAGAATTTCCTAGAATTCCGATAGATGGCGCTGCACATAAGGACCGTTCCCCAAAATGGCCCTCCATAATGGAGCCATAGATGTATCCACGTTAAAGACCGCCTTATTTTCTCCATTCGTTCAAGTAATCTCCCATGTTCGAGTTCTCACTCGATTCTCGTTCTAAAAAAATACGGTTTTCGAAAGTTTAGACCATTTCACTTATTTATTTATAAACCACAAATGTTTAAAAAAATAATAATTCTGTGCAAAATGTAATTTGAATGACGCTGAACATTTGTATTTTTTTTACATTTTCTCACGCAATTTAATTGATAAATTTGATGATTGAAAATGGTTGAATCTATAGTGTGGCCTGTGCCAAACTTTAAAACACACTTGTATATCCTTAAGATGGCAAACAATGTTTTTCAAATTAATTAAACACATTTCAGCCACCCAGAATACACAATCCCAACAATCTCTGCCACCAGTATCGTATGTCAAAGCAATCGACGTTTGGATGTCATCGTGTAGTGTATTTGTCTTCCTCTCGCTAATGGAATTTGCTGTTGTCAATAATTACATGGGTCCAGTAGCAACTAAAGCAATGAAGGGATACTCGGACGAGGACATCAGAGAATCCATCGATGAATTTAAGGTACCCACTCAACTCCTTCAAACTAAATTAACTTCCCTCATACAAACAAAAATTTACATGTCTAATTTGAACATGAATTTATTCGCAGACACCGATGAGACCGGAGTCACGAAACAGAAGTCCGATGCGACCACTCACCGTGCAATACGATACCTGCTGTCAGGGCCGAGCAACGGCAATCTACATCGACAAGCTCTCAAGATTCCTCTTTCCCTTTTCCTTCTTTATTCTCAACATCGTTTATTGGAGCACTTTTCTCTAATATTTTTCAAGATCCACTTGTCGTTAAAGTGCAATTATCAACGTCGACATTTTGAATGAAACAATATTCTGATTATAAGTGAAATGAGTTTTGAGCATTTTTGTGCATTCAATTGTTAATTTTACGAGTTATTAAAAAATAGTCATTGTGAATGGAATATTATGAATTTATCCTTACCTTGGAATACTTGATTTTTAATTAAGGGGGGACACTACTGAAATTTTAAACGCCTGCAATAAAAAAATGGCCTCCCTGAGATTTTTCTCACATGTATACGCGGAGAAAAAAGTTGGAGAAAAATTAACAAACAAATCAAGAGGGGGAAGCATTCATGGGGAATGCTTGAGCCATTCTACGTGAATTTCTCGTTGAGGGAGAGGGAAGACTCTCTGCTACGGGAGCGAAAGAGAAACGAAGGCTTAAATCGAAAAATTTCACGATTTCGACCGAGAAAAATGAAATAAACCCCAATTTTTCCTTAGAGCTTCAAATAATTAATAAAAAGAGGCCCTACGATGCCGTCGAGGCAGAACCGGACGAAAATTACGACGCCAATCTTTCTAGGGGGGAAAATAAGTCGATGAAAATCGACCAGAAACCCACAGGTAAGAATCCGGGGACAATCGACGTCTTAAAAGGAAAATTTATAACAAAAACCGCCAGTAATTGACTCAACAGCCGTTTAATCAGATTGAAGGCCACTGCACGTGGCTGAAGGCCAACATGAGGGAAACCACCATGAGTGGAAAAACGACGCCATGCTCAATGGCTCGGATAAACCATCGAAAACCAAGAAAAACTCACCTCTGGGAGCTTCTTGTTTACGCGACCCTTCTTCTTCATCATTGTGAACTCCTCGTAACCCCAAAAATACTCCAAAATGCACACAACGTAATCTAAAAGTAATCCACTTAATATGGAGCGCTAATATTTCAATTAGACCTAATCGATTTCCCGTGAGATTAACAGTAGGGTAAACCCCATAAAAATTACCGGATGAATCTAAAGTTTTTGGCCCTTCTTCGCGATAATTTTATGGGCCCTCAACAGCAACAATCGAGCACTTCAAATAATTAATCCGAACTCTTCCCATTTATATTTAAAAAAATACAGTGGTCCTCTAACTTCATATAATAAATTTACCGCACCGAAGTGGGAAACCCTCAAAAATCCAAAAATCTCCATCGGAGTGGAAAAACCTCATAAATCTAAAAAAAATCTCCACCGGAGTGGAAAAACCTCATAAATCTCAAAAAATCTCCACCGGAGTGGAAAATACAAAAAGCTCTCTCTCTCACTCGAATTTTTACCGACGATTCACCGGATTATGCCGCGGGAGTTGGTTGGTCATCAGGTCGTAATGGTGTTCCTAACGAACATTCCCACATGTTCGTTACAATACGTATGGGAGTATCGAATAATGAAGAAGTGCTAAAAATGACATTTTTTGTTTCCACAGAGAAGAAATTTTTTTGGAACTGCTAAATTTATTTTTACTATTAAAATCCTTTTTTGATAATTTTTAACAAACTTTTTTTTTTACGTAATTGAAACTTGTTTGAGAACTCTGTTGTTTTTCTCTTAATATATTCCGTTCAGAGATATTTTGGAAACGATCTTAACATCATTACTTACCTGTTTTTTCATCACTCCACTACAGAATTGATGTTCTCCCAGGCTATTTACTCCCAATTTTCCTGTAAAATAGGACAAGGAAAAGGGATAATAGGAACGGTAAATTTATCATAAAAATATATGCAACATAGAAACGTGAATAAAGACAGTACTTTATTTTTCATATATCCTTTCTCTTTATCGATTTCGCATTATATTAATAATAAATATATTCTTGTTAATAATAAGTGGTTCCATTTGCCATGTGTCTCATGTCCGAGCCCCACCCACATACCTCCCCTCCCCAATCCATCAATTTATGATCGATCCACGATCGAAGATTCATTCACGCTCACTTAGAAAAAAAATAAATCAATAAAACAATTTTATACATTTCAACGATTGATAGAATTTCCTTCTCTCTTAGCAAACATTACACTCGTTAGTCTCTCGTTATCGCTTCATTCTCGTGTTGGAAACGTCTTATATCCTCCATTAGCAATAATTTTCTTGTTCTTTCATCTTCAAGTATTCTGTTTATTTATACATTCAGTGTTTATCGAATTACTGATACTCTAATTACTAAAAATACATTTTGTTTAAAAAATTTGACGAATGAATAGAGTCGTTTTTAATTTAATTATTTCTTTTTCAGATAGAATTCTAAAATAATTCTTCGGCTGAATTATCTACAGGGTCAACTATCGATTATTAACTGCGGAAAATAGAATTGAGGTCGTCGGATTATCACTCTTCCTCTCTGTCACTCTCTAACATTGAGGGCTAATTGAATAATAACAATTTTAACTGGTGAATCAATTGGGAGAGCTTTTTCGTCATGATACGGGTCAACTGCAGTGTAAAAATGTTTCTAGAAATTTTTCAAACAATTTATTCCATTCTTTTCATTCAGACACGGATGAAAAAATTTTGTAGAAGAACCTAGCGAATTCTATTTTTCGATATAACTTATTCTATTGAGATATTTTCTATAGAATTTCCTCGGCTCAAATTTTCCAAGTTGTTTGTTTGATTTTCTTGATGAAAGGAAAAGAAGAATAGAATGAAAAAAACTTGGACGATTTGAGTCGAGGGAATTCTATAGAAAATATCTGAAGAGAATAAGTTGTATAGAAAAATCGAATTCTATTGACTTTTTCTATTGAATGTTTTCTATTGAACATTTCAATGAAATCGGCTAAAAACTAATGAAAAGTTGAATGTAAATCCAATAGAATTTTCTAATGAATTCACCAGGCTTTTCTATTAATTTTTTTTGTGCGTGGAATAATCAAGAATTATCCATTCTCAATTATATTTGTAATTTCACTTTTTTTGAAGACAAGATAGAACAGAAAAAAATACAGTTAATTGAGAAGAAACTCCCTTTAGGGAAATGAAAATTCATTTTTCATCCAAATGCTTTTCTTATCCTTTGTTCCATCTTCTTCGTTCACATCATAAATTTCAAAGTTTTTTTTACATTGCAATTCCACTCATGATATAGCATAAAATATTTACCATCATTTACTCTGATATTCACTCATGCCAGTCTCACCGAGATAACCATTTGCATTATTCCCACGACTCTCAAGTGTAATTACCATTATCAAAGTTTTGTTTATCCATGGGAATTGGATAAAACGGTTTTGTCCATTTAGATAGGTAGAAAAGGGAGTTAACAATTAAGAGATTTCTCCGTGCAGAATGAAAATGTCCCGGACAACGATTTTCGTCTAGTGTCGTCGAGGGGTGATGTACGTACAGGAGGTAGGAGTTTATAAACGCAAGGGGAAGAGAAAAAAAATACCCCGATTAAATTACTCCCGGTCTATTGGCGTTATGTTCGCTCAATGGGTCAATCAGTTGTTTTATTTTTGTTGCTAAAGCTTGTCTATCCCGCTCCCATTAATTTACATCCTATTTTAGAATTTTTCCTCGAGTCAGGCGAGCGAAGGACATCCGGATATTTAAAGAACTGTTATTTCATTGTTTACTGGATGATTAATTTTTTGTTTTCTTTTTTTTTGTGAAGTAAAAATAGCACGAAATGCACGGAACAGAAATTGCTGGGATATTTTTGCCACCCAGAATGTAATTTTAATAAATTTGTAGTGAATCCAGTCGTGAAGTAAAAGGAGATGAGTGCACTGTTAAAAAAATGTGGCTGAATTTTTGGGAAAAAGATATTGAAATCGATTTGAGGGGAAAAAGTCAATAGAATTGCAAGTTTCTCTGCAAATTCAAGTCATGTCTCAATTTTTTGCAGGCAGGAGCACGAAATTTGATGGTATCGTAATTTTTCACAGGAGATTCAGATAAAAATTACGGAATGTTCTGGAAAAATTCTGTGATAGTTCCGTAAAATTTGCTACAACCACATTTCGTTCCGGAATTACGGAAAAGCTACGTAATTTTTATTGAATATTTCTCTCCGGGTATTTCCATTACTTTCCGAGATTATTTGCGAAATGATTCGCTTGAAATTTGGCCTGTTCCTTTCCTACTTCGCTGCAGATCTATTATTAGTCCATGATTGAAGACTTCAGATATTAATTCTAAGACTGTTCCGTCATTGATCACTCGCACCCTTTCAAAATACCGACCCATCAGTCCATTCACCCTCCCCGTTAATCAATAACTTGATAACAATCGTAAATAAGAACAGCATCTCGCACCGGACACGATTAAATTATCAATGAAACTTCAACGAAAAGCCGGGGGGAACGGGTCCTTGATTCAAGGATTTAGGACGAGTAGAAACGCTTCCTTAATGGGCTCACGTCCCTGTGGGGTACGAAGTTATCCATCACGCTGATAGTCCGCCCATGACGTTTACTTTAATGATCAGTAATTTAGAGGGGTATCAGTAATTGCGGTTGAATGCGTACTTCACCTTCACCACCGAATTCAATGAGCAATTAGAGAACTATTATAATAATCAATTTCTTTAGGACGGGAAACTATGACTTGACTATAATAGCTTCCATATTTATTGCATCGATTTATTCCGTAATGAGTTGAATGATCAGGTAATAATGCCCGGAGAAAAAAGTTGGAGAAAAATTACCAAACAAGTCAAGCAATCGCGGAGCGGAATCCAGTTCTATGTCTTTTTCACTCTACCTTGTTAGAAAATTGCTCTTGAAAATTCAAGTGAGAAAGCTTGAAATTTTTAACAACGACAAAGTTACATGAGATTTCTGTATATTTCTTCATGGACGAATCAGTGAATTTATTGAATATTCAAATAATTCTCGAATTTCAGGTCTATACGGCACTGAAAAACATTGACAATTTTGAGAATTCAGGAAAAACTTTTCTGAATTCTCAATCTATTGAAAATTGAATTGCATTTGATGTTCAATTTTCACGATGAGTTTGGGAATTTAAGATTTAATTGAAAAATCAATGATTGTTTAACATGAAAAACCTAATTTTCTTGAATTTTCGGGATGAATGAGAAATTTTGTGAACGCTTCCATTTGAAATTGAATTCGAATTCACAATACCGACACGTTAAATGACACTGTGACTGAAATT